TGACGGCTTATAGAGATGTATGGAAGAGCAGCACATACTGTGCCGACCCTCCGTAAGGGGTAAGGGCAAGTGGATGATGTTTATAGTACATGGATGGTTTTTATATCTATATCATAGTAATAGTTGTAATAGTAATACATTTGAGCAGTTCAGAAACATTGCAACATAATAAATACATTTGAACAAAAAATACAAACCTTTTTGCGCCTTTGCGTCCTCCGCACGTCAGATACAGCAGTTAAATTGTTGGAAGTGATATAATTGAGTGGGAAAAACTTACTCATATTATAAATGCGAAAGTTTAGATGGATGGATGTTTGTTAGAGTTCGTAGTCTAAACGGCTGAACGGATTTCGATGAAATTTGGTATAGATGTAGAGGATAATCAGGAAGAACACATAGGCTATTCACTTTTGTTTTTTTTATCTACGCGGACGGAATCGCGGGCGAAATTAAATATATAAACAAGGAACAAGTCATTCCATTCAACATTTAAAAAAAACAGGTGACGAAGTGCCTGTTCCACAAGTATGGTCCGAGTGGGTCCATCCAGCAACACGACGCGCTCTGCGTTATGGCGCTCAACATCATCCACGAGAAGATTTACACCATTCTCTGGTTCTGGTTCCTCTTTCTGTTCATCGCTTCTTTACTCGGTAAGTTAGAATGTTACAACGTTCTTCTATCGTTTTAAAAACTTCGTTCTTTATTTTTAAATATTCATTTTGTAATCCTTATAATTTAAATATCAGAGCATGTTATAGGGATGAATCGCATATAACAAGAGAATGTTAGTTGTATGTGGAGGTACACCGGTAGAGGTAGACCTAGAAAGAGATGGATTGCGTGAAAAGTGACATAAAGAAGGAGGTGGTGACTGAGATGAAGGATAGAGTTATTTGGAGGAAGAAAACCCGGAGCGAGGGGAGATAATGAATTTAGATATTAGGCTATTTACACATTTTATTGCATATAGTAATCCAACAAACGTTCCATGTTTCTTTACAGCTGTAATCTGGCGTGTGATATCGTTCTTCATGTACCGACGTTCTCTGAAGTTCAACCAGATGGTGTTCCGGCAAGTCTCCGCGGGCAAGTTCGACGCGCACAACGTGCTGCACGTCGTCAACGGCTGCCAGTTCGCTGACTGGCTCTTCCTCTATTACCTCGCTAAGAATATGAAGACATCTGTGTTCCAGTTAGTCTTTTATACCTTTATCCTCTTTATTTCGGAATAGTATGATTTTGCAAAGTAATCGTTTAGATGGATGGATGTTTTTAGGAGTTTGTAGCCTAACAGCTGAACGGATTTCGATGAAATTTGGTATAGACGTAGAGGATAGTCTGGAAGAACACATAGGTTACCCACTTTT